TTATAGAGTAGGCATGGCTAATATTTGTGAGCGCTGTCATCAGCTGTGTACTGTACGAGAACTTTGTAATGATTGTTTCATAATAGAATGCCTCAATAGTGGAGAGCGGATTCCATTCAACATCAATAACACCTGGGAAAGTTTTAAAAAGAGAAAATTTCCCTATAAGCTATTGTGTGAGGAATGTGGAAAATTCTTGACTAGAACTGACTTGTACCGTCATATGAGGAATGTCCATCACTCCTGTTAATGAATAATCTCGGATTATTCATCGAACTGATTAGGCAATTGCGTTCACATAAATCATTTGATCATACGTACAGATGCCTACAGATGCCTACAGATCGCGCCTACAGATGCCCACAGATGCCTTTAGATACCTACAGAAGCCTACAGATACCTACAGATGTAATCGAATGTTCATTTGTTTATCAGACACCATAGCGTCCACATCATGGAGCCCCATTCATCAGAGCAAGCATTAGATGAATATTACTGTGCAGATTATGATAATGCTTATGGACCGAAATATGTTGATGAGCACTTGGCCATAAGAATCGATGATAAACACATAGTCGTAGATAATGTCGATTCGAAAACTACTTTGGAATTATTATTTTCCAAGAACCCTCAAAATTACACGGCTCTGGATCACCAGATGTATAAACAGATGCTGGAAATCAGCGCTATTCATAGAGATCGATTGGGCCGGATGAGCTGATAAGAAGGAATTCGATTAAGTTATCAACCCACTCTTCAAAAATAAGACCCAGTCTAAACGTCCAAAGTCGATCGTGGAGCCTGAAGCCAGTAGTGGGAATGAAGAGTACAATATTTTAGATGAATGGGCAGATCCGAATATCTTGGTGGATAGACTGAGATATTTGATGGAATCAGATAAGAACAACAACGAGATTGCCCTTATTCTTACTGAACTTGAAGATGTTGGCATATCTAAAATAAATGATTGAAATTTATCCGACTTTTATTGTTATTTGAGAATAACATGCAATGACTTGTCAACTCCACTTACTTTGTTTGTTGATTTAACATGCGACTATATGATTTAAAGAAAACACCCTGTATAACGACTGGTAGGTAGTGTGATGAGATCATAAACTTTTTTATATTCATTATGGATACCTATACATCACAGAACCATTCATATCACCATAATTAATACACAAACATTTTTCAAATAATTTCTCAGATCCAATGTCTGAACAAAAGGCTGAACATTGATCCATCTTCTTGATGTGTAGTATTAGTTTAGATGCAAATCCTCTTCTCCGATACTCCCTCATAGTATAGATAAAATTAAGAGTGTTCGGTCTATTATGTTTTCCCAAATAATCAAAGTTCATGCTAGACATTAGGGCAAAAGATGTCGGAAACCCGTCCACATATGTAATATATAACAGGATATGTTCTGATCTTGGTACCACTGATCGATCAATACATCAGTCATCATCTTCCACATGTAATTGCTCGATTTTCTTTACAGCTTTTGATCCATGAAAGAATTTTTTCCATTGTGTAGATTGACTGAAGATGCGGTGTTAACTCACTGACTGTCTCCAACTGACTGACATTTTCACAATGATAATCACTCTAGGACTCACAAAAATGAAAAACGAGGTAGCGACATTTCTTGCTGACCCGCCCTGTATAGCAGAAATATTTTTCAGTGTGGAATATTAAATATTAGGTCTAGGACTAAAAACAGCTCTTGTTTCAGCTTGAACAGCTGTTTTTTATGTGATTTCGATAGTTCCTTGTATCTCATATGGAACGATAAGAGAATCAATAATAATAGGATTATTTCCTTTATTGTCCGTTAATTGTAGTCTATAACTCAGCTGATTTAATCATTTTTCTAGGCTTTGAAAGAATATGATTTTCTGTATACGCCAAATATAAAACAACCAAGATAACGGCATCCTGTTTCAACGCTCCAACTTGAACAGCTGTTTGATGTCGGTAGTTCGTTGATTTCGTGAAAAAACGATAAGAGAACCCGTGTATGTCCTTTATACTCACTCGTTAATTGTTGTCTATTGCTCATCTATTGTAAGAGTATCAGATTTTGAAATATTCGGCGGATTCAGTGGCAGATGAAATGCATAATAATGCTTGAATATAATATGCACGCATGAAGACTATTTTCCATATAAGCCTCTGAATGTATAGGGTGAATCAGTCAGTAGTCGGATAAGGGACTGAGTTTTACAAAAGAACCATATTATGTGATGCATGAAAGAAATGCTCAATAGATCGTATCAATAAGCCAAAAAGAATCAACAAATTGTGTTCTTCTTTCATAAAAATAAATATCTAGTAACCGGCCACCGACTTTTCACTTTGAAATTTCAGTAAACATCAGTTTCAAATGATCTTAACGCAAATTAAGACTATTTATGACGCATACAAAATCAATATGAATTCATGAGTTTGAAATATCCTTTGCCTATGTTTGATACACTATGTTAAAGACAGTCACGCACATCAACAAATTGGCGCGCTATTATAATTTCAATAGCACCAACTGCTCAATTGAAAAATGTCTAGAATGGCGTGGAAACATTGGTGCTACAGATTTCTCTTCATTTGGAGGTAATATGTTATTTCCAGGCAAACTTGAGAAAACTATGTTTCTATTTCAATAGAGTGGTCCTTCATCAGGCTATTACTTCAAGGAATGATCTTTGATTCTCGTTTTCGCGATAGAGGGTGTTGCATAAACTTTTTGAAATAATATTCATGATGGCCTAATGAATGCTCTGTTCTGAAAAAACAAAAACTAATTTTCTCTAAAATTGTTCTATCTTTCATTCGGTTACTCCCCCTAACGAGCGACCCTTAAAAGTCTTCAAGAGACTTGTGTGAGCAAGGAATGACAGGGACCTCATACCTTTTAACGTGTGATCCCAAAACACTTTCTTTGGCCATCAGAAAAATTTCTGTAGTCGTTGAGAATCGAACCCACGGCCGGTAAGCGAATGCTGATTATCAATATTGACACTCTGTCCGCACGGCTATCTGGCCGATATTTCCAAGAGGAATGGCTGATTGAAACATTAAAGCGACCAGAACGAATAGAAAAGCGCTATGGAAATATAAAAACTTACTTTTCTTCAAGATAAAAGGCACAAACACTAAATAATTGTCAATTGGTGTTGAACACTGTTCAAGATACTCGAAAACTTGATGCGTTGGTATCGAATGATTCGTCTAGATACGGATAGCACATTTTATACTCTCGAGCTATTCAATTTTTTGCATTTCCAGCGAATGTCGGCATATGGCTGCAGATAACAGCAATCTAAATTTTTCGCATTTCCAACGAATATCGGCATGTGACTACAGATAACAGCAATCTATGGACGGCTATCGACGAATATATATGGGGAGATATTTATTCGTCTAGATACGGCTAGCACATTTTGAACCTCCAGAGCTATTCAATTTTTTGCATTTCCAGCGAATGTCGGTATGTGGCTGCAGATAACAGCAATATGAATTTTTCGCATTTTCCACGAATGTCGTTATGTGACTACAGATAACAGCAATCTATGGATGGATATCGCCGGATATATATAGGGAGATATTCAGGAAGTATGTCGAAGCAATGTTTATTGATCATAATATGTCAAGGTTCATGATGAAATAATCATTATCTATTGGTGTAAAATGCATAAACCACCGGTGCATCGTTATCTTTTATATATCCAACATTTCCTTCATGTCTATTTCAGTATAAATAGGCGGAACTGAATTTATTATTCATTCTCCTGATTCTTTGATGAATTCAATATTCTGAGTGTTAGTGTCTGCATTATCATCAATAATAGTAAGTACCCCTCTTTTCTCGATTACCTATAGTATTTCATGTCTGAATTTATTTTCTTGGTCCTTTGATTTTTTGCTATACGTAAATGACGTCCCAAATCACGTCAGCACGAAACATCTAATTTTATATGCTGATGATACCACTTTGGCAACGGATGCTGAGTCGGCGGAAGAACTAATCTCGAAAATGAATATTCTGTCTAGAGAATTTGCCTCGTGGTGTAGGAGGAATTCTCTGATTGTTAATTCTGCCAAAACCATTCGTATGCAGTTTTTCACCAGAAATTAAATATCTGAAAGTAGCAGAATTTTAGTAAATAATATTGAAGTTCCTTTTTCGAAGTCTACAAAGTTTGTAGGTGTATTTGTGGACAATGATATGAGTTGGAATACGAATATTAATCATGTTTGCAAGAAACTGAATAGTGGTTACTTTGCTATACTGCAATTGGAAAATATCTTTACAAAGAGCCAATTGCTCAATGTATACTATGCTATCGTTTACTCGCATCTTTCGTACAATATCATTATCTGGGGTAGCGCAGTGAGCGCGTGCAGAGTTTTCATTTCTCAGAAGAGGGTTATTCGTTTAATCTTCAACTCAGACAATAGAGAAACATGTCGAAATCATTTAAAAAAATATGAGCTTCTCACATTTCACTCAATCTACATCTACAAATGCATAGTTCATGCCAAAAGTAATTACAAAGATTTTGCTTTCAACTCAGACTATCACGACTATCCTACTCGATCTTCAAACCTCATGAGACCCCCCCAAACACGGAACAAGTCTATATGAAAAGAGCCCAATGTACAAGGGAATCCAATTTTTTAATCATTTGCCGGTCTGTATAAGATTGGGAAACAACTTCAATTTATTCAAACATAAACTCAAAAAGTTTTTATGCAACGAATGTTTCTATGATACATATGAATTTTTAAACAACAAATATGATGTTTAGCAGAAGTTACTGTATTGTGATTTATTAATATTTTTCATATTTATATATAGTTCTTAATGTTATTTCATTCTGACGAGAACTTTCTTCCACTGACATATCCTATATCATGTTTCTTTGTGATCAAAAAGGATGAATGAATTTTTATTATTATTATTATCATTATTATACAAAGTATAATTATTCTAGAAAATGTCGTATGATTCAGGATATGAATCTGATGATGATTTTGATGCAGAAATTATTGCATGGGCAAATTGGATGTTGAGGGAGTACCCCCCTCAACTTGGACATCAGCCTCCAGTTGTGTGAGTACATAATTCGATTCGTATGGTTGAAATATACCATTATGCTTCAAAATTGAGCTATTTATGATCTCTGAGCGCTTTGTCTAGATAACGAATTTCATACAATTTTAGAGATAATGAAAATGGTGCGGAGGGGCTGCTCATCGCTGAGCAACAGAACATGGAAATGTGAGTTCTAAAAATTGATTCTACTAGGTGTTTATGAATTCAATATATTTTTAGTAGCAATGATGATGCTAATAATGAGCCTATAGTGATGTAAGTTCTGAAATTGATTCTGTTAGGTGTTTATGAATTCAATATATTTTTAGTAGCGATGATGAGCAAGAAATGGAGGTAGAAGATGAGCCTATTGAAATGTGAGTTTCATAAATTTATTTAATTAGGTTTATGAATTTAATACATTTTTTAGAAGCGATGATGAGCAAGGAATGGAGGCTTATGAGCGTGTTAGAATGTGAGTTCCATAATTTAATTCAATTAGGTTTATGAATTCAATATATTTTTAGAAACGTTGATGCTCTAGTCCCTATACGGGATGGGGAGGTAATTTTCAATTATATTCCCGAGGGGGGGATCATTTATGAGTGAGTTTATGCAAACTGACTCTAGAGAAATGCTCATAATTTGATATAATTTTAGGAGTGATTAGTCCGATGAGGCCATCTGATGGATGGTCCTCGATGCAAATCTTCCAATATCTTTGATGTGAGTTTTAAATTGATTTTGCAGTATTTTTCCTAATCTCATATAATTTTAGGACTGCTTGCAGGAGAAAGCATCTCGGTAGGATATTGGCTCCATATTGGGGATGATATCCTACCAAGATCATGTTAAGTAGTTAAAATAGGACTCAAGGTGAGACTTTCTACTTTAAAAAAAGTAACGAGCCATTATAGTCTGTATAATATTTTTTTGCGTGTGAATAAGATCTATTAACACCATACTATCCTCTTTCAGAGTAGAATATGTAGCAGAAATTTCTTTCATGACGGGAACTTGCATTTTAACTCTATTCTCAATACATCACACCAATGCCTTGCTGAAACAACTGACCACAAATTGATTTGATACATTTCTTGATGTTGTGACGCATGCGTAACGAAATATTATACGGGCTGTATGAGTCATACCTCGAAGGGTCATGCTTATCGTTTATGAAACTTTTTTTCGTGATACTCATCACGCATTGTCTGATGATGTTATGGAAAAACAGTTTGCTCGACCTTCAGGTGGTTATGGAAATTGACTCGCCCTGTATATACTTGTAAAATGCATCAATTTGAATAAATTTGCTTCATATTACCTAAATATGATTCACTCTGTATATTTTCTTGCTTCATTATCAGGTAGTATTTTTGCGAGAGAGGACGTGCGATAAGAGATATCGTTATCGTCTATGTTGAGTTTGAATATATGCAATCGATTTATTTTTAGTTGAATCGCTCGCTGTTCGCTCCTATTCATTTCTTTCATTCCGTGGGTATTTATATAATTTTTTCTATATATAGTAATTCGGGATTGGGTAGCTCTTCTTATCACCTCCCTCCTCCTAGATGATTCCCTTTTTTCAATTAAACGAGGCAGGTGCCATTGATTTATAGAGAATTTTCAGACCTATTATAGGTCTATGAGGAATCTTGCTCATCGAGTAGTTGACATGTTTTTTCTGTGTGAACGCTGCCATGTTTATTTTTTCTGTATAATCACGAATCCCTAAGGCCCCTACCCCTTACATTATGAGTTTTGCTAGTGAAATTTTCACATATTTCGCCAGCACTTCTCTGGTGAGGCAGCGATCTTTTTTTCGTGTCTTGTTTAAGAGTAGTTCGACATATTTCCTGGTTTTTGAATACTTCCACTCCATACGTCCCCTGTCAAAAAACATCTGTCATACGTAAGCTATCCCTTTGCCGTGCCCGCCTGAAGTGTGGTGGTCTAACCTTGTATATTTTTTATTGCTATTCTGCTCAACCGTCTTTTATATTGAATGAAATCATGAGCTTGCGTTAGCTGTCTAATTGAAATAACTCTATTCAGTAATGGTCTATAAAAATCAGGTTATTCAACAAAGTATCACACCTAAACATGGCTAACCTCTAGCCTTCATAACCTCCTAGCACCCTTAACCTATACGCGGGGTAGTCTACCCGCCAGGTGCCTGCTTTGTTTCGCTTCCGCCAAGCATCGGGTATACAATATACGTAGCGACCGCCTATCAAATGTCATAAGCCATCTGTCGGCTGTCGAATGTTCAGCGAGCATCAGAAGGTCACGTGGTATACCTCGTATATCATATATCGAATGTATTATGTTAGTCGTCATCCGCTGTCGTACTTTAGGTGTTATAGCAGTCTCTGAGTATGACAAGAAGTGGGGTGGTCTACCCGCGAGTCACCCTATATCTATAACTCAAACACCCTGTATATTGAACGGAATCAGCAGCTAGTGCGTCATACTTCACCTATCTGTTTTTCCGGGTCCATCTGAATATACTGCATATTGAATGAAATCATCAGCGGGGTAGCCAGCTAGCAAGTCGTCTGGTCACGTGTCATTGATCCTGTCAACAGCCTTCTATCAAACGTTATCTGCCATACGTCATACGTTAGCTATCTGTTTGCTCAGCCCACCTAAAGTGTGGTGGTCTACTCATGAGTTACCCTATGAATTTTCTCAATTTTTATTCAACTCTCACACCCTGTATATAAATATTCAATTTTGTTATTGAACTGATGGCTTGCGAGGTAGCTAGCTTACAGGTCGCCTAGTCACGTGTCATCGAAAGTTTGATATCTGTCAACGACCATCTGTTATACGTCATCTGTCATAGATTACCTATCTGTTTGCCGAGCCCACCTGTAGTGTGGTGGTCTACCAGTGGGATAGCTGTATATATTTTCAATTTATATTCAACTCAAACGCCTTGTATATCGACCCAGTTATTGGCATCGATGTGTTATTGCGGTTCTTATCAGCAGCTTGCTGATAGCTCACTCGTCGGAGCCGGATGACCATGAAAGCGTAAAAAATGACCAGAATGAGGCTTAAAATCCGCTGAAAAAGTCCGTAGATCTACGGAAAAATCTGCTTTGCTTCACATTGGCTCTTATGGGGCTTCCTGCCGTACATCATGTAATTTCCGTAGAATCTAGGGAAAAATGACGTAGAATTTTGAAAAAAGATCCCGTTCTCTCATAGCTGATTCACTGAAGATACTTCGACATCTGTCTGCACACTGTATCTCTGTATTGTACCATTTCACATGAATACCTTTGTAGCATGGTAGTTCGCAACGATCATATGAGACGACATCAAAATGGGTATAACGCACACAACAGGCAGAACAAGAAACTTCGACTTCGACTATATTTACACTGTAACTTTGCATTCTAGCATCTGACATGCCTACAGTTATAGCAGATACGATCGCACTGACCATATAGGACGACTTAAGAGGACATATAACGAGAACAATAGGCAAGTGAAGATACTTCTACAACATCATTCCGCACACTGTATCTCTGTATATTATCATCTCACATAGATACCTCTGGAGCATATAAGTTCGCAACGATTATATGAGACGACATCGAAGCGGGTATAACGTACACAACAGGCAGAACAAGAAACTCTGACTTCGACTATGTTTACTTTGTAACTTTGCATTCTAGCTTCTTGAATGCCTATTCAAGAAGTATTTATGAAAGTTCATTATATGTGAGTGGAGTACTATACTTTTTCATATCCACCAGAAACTTCGATTCCAACAATCAAGAGTCGGTAAACCGGCGTGTTCGCCAAAACTTCGAATTTATCAATCTTGATAATTAGTCGGTTATACATCTTATAGGTAAACATTGTCGAGTGTTTCCTGGCTCAAAATAACGCTTACAACAGAAAGAGCAAGAAACTTCGACTTCGACTATGTTTCCACTGTAACTTTGCATTTTTGCATCCGACATGCCTACAGTAATTGCAGATACGATCGCACTGACCATATAGTACGACTCCGGAGGACATACAACGAGATCAATTGGCAAGTGAAGATACTTTGACCACATCAGTCTTCATACCGTATCTCAGTATTCTATTATCTCACATGGATACCTCTGGAGCATATGAGTTCGCGACTTCTATATTAGACGACATCGAAGCGGGTATAACGCACACAATAGGCAGAACAAAAAACTCTGACTTCGACTATGTCTACACTGTAACTTCGCATTCTAGCATCTGACATGCCTACAGTTATAGCAGATGCGATCGCACTGACCATATGAGACGACTTTGAAGGACTTATAACGAGAACAATAGGCAAATAAAGATACTTCGACAACAACATCAGTCCGCACACTGTATCTCTGTATCATATCATCTCACATGGATACCATATGCATATGAGTTCGCAACTATTATACAGTGAAGACGTAAAAAGTCCTCCCCCCCCTTATCTTTTGAACGTAAGAATCTATCGAGGTCGGGTAAAATTCAGGTAAAAAGGTACTACTTTTACTACTTTTTGGCATAAAAATGATTGTGGTCACGTGGCCTAGTGTCAAGAGGGTACCATCAACTTTTATTTTCAAATGTAAAAGGGGGTCACGTGGCACCTGGTTTTGAAGGCCTTCCGATTCTCTATCCACCACCGCTGTGTTTGTGAAAATCGACCAAGCCGTTTCAAACTGACAAGTGTTTGAAATTTGCTTCAAAAATTTCACAAATAAATTGAAAACCTAAATAACTTTTAATTGCAACAAAATTTCAATCAACAATTTCAACTATTTTAACGAGTGCTCGAAATGTTCACCGTTCACTTCTTGACAGAAAAAAAGTCGGTTTTGGAATTCATTCCGAACTCTATTAAATGTTTCCGGGGTAATACTGTAACACACATCTGTTATTCGGTCCATAAGTTCCTGGAGTGACTGTGGCTGCGTGACGTACACCTTAGAATTAATGTACTCCCACAGAAGAAAGTCCATAGGTGTCATATCAGGTGACCTAGCTGGCCATTCAATGAGGCCACGTCGGCCTATCCACCGTCCTGGAAAATGCTCGTTAAGCCATTCTCGGACAGGTCTGTAGTAGTGAGGGGGTGCACCATCTTGTTGAAAGGTAATATCCATGGTAAACTCATTTGGGTTTGCCCGAACTACTTCTTGAATACTGCGCTGGCGCGCGCTTATCTTCGGAACGGATCTATCGAGGTGAAGCGAAGCGGGAGATGCATTCCAGAGATGAGAAACTTCGAGTCGAAAATAATATCCATCGCTGGCGCGCGCCTATCTCTACACGGGTGCAGCGACAGCAAATTTCACAATCAACAGCATAACAGATAAGGTTGAAGGTTATCAAAACTACAGAAAACCCAACAGCAAATTTCACAATCAGCAGCATAACAGGAAACGTTGAAGGTTATCAAAACTACAAAAACCCAACTAGCCGCATGAGCAGAATACGTTATCCGATTGACTCAAGAAATTATTGCTATCAGCAGTCGTTCCAGATGGGTTTTTTCAGAACATCCGCGTCTATATACTATCAACAAGTCACGAGGTAACTCCGCCAGCGTATAAAAGCGATGACGCCGCACAACATCATTCACACTCGAGTCTGCAATCGTCAACGTTGTCTCTTGACCAGCTCCAGCCAAATCATCACTGTTCGTGTGTGTGTGTGCATTAATAGCAATAATAGTAAGTACCTCTTTTTCATCAAGGTGCGTATTTATATTCTCAATCCTATATTATCCGACTTTTTTATTCCATTTTGAGTTTCTCAGTTTTATTTTAAGTTTTATTGCAAATTATTCATTTAGTGCCCATTCCTTTCTCGAATTTTATATTATCGGTCCTTTTCATTTTATTTTGAAAATAATACAACCTAGTGCTCATTCCGCATCAACCTTTTTCATTCCAAGTTTTTTCGAGAGACAATTCAATGAAAGTGTCAATGATCAATCGCAGATTGATTTCATTTCTAGTTTTATCGAAAATAATCCATCCTAGTATCAAGCTCATCATGACTTTGTTGGACTGCTGATGTTTTTTGTCCTTTTTCTTTCCACCAGATGGATCTTACTCGAATCAACGCAGCTTCTCTGATTGCTCCAAAACAACAGAAACCAAGCGTGGAGCTGGTGGATCTCCTGCTCGGTCAACCCCAACCAATCAAGACAGCGAAAGTGGTCACCACAAAATTTGGTAAATCTCTTCTGATTGAGTTGGAGGACTGTGTTGTGTTCCTGCCCAGTCGTGTAACTGAGACCTATTCCCCCCACATTGGATATTTCGGTTGCGGGAAATATTCCTTGGTATTCAGAGGAAAGGTGCAGACTGGGAAGGCCAATCCGGCAGCTTCGTTTGAAATTTTGGAGAATTAAAGTAAGCTACATTTGTTTCATTTGGGTGAAATATTATCAATACAGCAATGGACAGCATCAATGTAACCTTGACCAAAGTTGACGAAACTCTTTTATTAATTAAGAAAACTTATTCGAGATCATTGTCACTTTTTGTATTGAAATCAATCCGTTCACACATACGGAAATGTATTTTAGCATTGAAAAGAAATACTTTTTCGATTGGTTTGAAGCGTAAAATTCAGACTAAGATCGGAGAACTGAAACGGATGAAATTTCTCATCAAAACTATGAATAGAGGACATGTTGGCTCCGGCCTGAAGCCCTATATTCGTTGGATTGATGTAAATTCAATCTTCGCGTCGAGAGTGCAGACCGGTCTTATTCTGAATTTGAGACATAAGGAGATTATCGACTTTTTGGAGGATTCATTTAGATTAGTGAATAAGAGAATTTCAAAAATTTTAGGGCGCTTTTCAATGCTAAAAGTCAACTTTAAATTTTCCGGTGACTTCATTCAGCAGTCAAATAATGGGGAATTGGTTGACCGCAAACATTTTTGTACTCCCAATGCCATCGTGGACGCAGGAACGGACCTAGCCGATTGGTACAAAATCAATGTGCTAGATGTGATCCTTAATAAACTTAGCGAATTTGCCGAGAAGAGTAGCGGGTAGGCCTTGAGCGAAATTATTTCTCTGGAGGTTGCCATAAATAAATATGAAATGGGCAATGGCTCATCATACATTAAATTACCAGAGCAGATTGAGAGAAAGCATGACTGCATTAACGTTCAAAATGATGATAAGGCATGCTTCTATTGGAGCATAGTCAGTTGTTTGCACCCTATTGAAGAAAGTTCGAAAAACATTAAAGGATTAGATATACCAATGAAGCTGCCCCAAATCACAAAATTTGAAAAAATGAATGCTATTTCGGTGAATGTTAATGCGTTAGAGTTGACAGAAGTCAACGAACGAACATTTTACTCTGTAGTACCCACCAGACTGACTAAGCATAAATGTAATCGACACGTTAATTTGCTATTAATTCAAGACAAATATTTTCCAAAATTGAATGACAATGAAGCTCCTCCCGATAATGATAATGTTGAGGAAAACGTTAACTTGAAATACCACTATATCTGGATTAAGGACCTTTTACGACTAGTATCAAGTCAACTCAACAAAAATTGTACAAAGAAATTCATCTGCGATCGGTGCCTCAACTATTACCATTGCCAGGAGAAGCTTGATAGTCATGCTGCTCTATGTGAGAAAATTAATAATGAGAAAATTTCATTCCCCAAGTATGATTTTGTAGAATTTAAGAACCATGTGTATAAGCAGACATGTCCTTTCATCATTCATGCTGATTTCGAATCGCAGTTGGAGAAATGTAATTCCAAAATTGCAAAAACCACTTCAAAGTATCAACATCATAAAGCATACAGTGCTGGGTACTATTTCAAATATTCTTTCGATGACTCGCTGACATTTTATCGTAGTCATAGGGGTGGAGATTGCATGGACTGGTTTGCCTGCGAAATGTCTGAAATTGCCAAATTTGTCGAATCCAAATTGAAAAATATCGTTCCAATGGTAGTCAAACCTAGTACTAGTGGCGCAACCATCTGCCACATTTGCGAAGAGAAATTCAAGGCAAAAGACGTTATCGTACCTGACCACGACCATTTTACTGAAGCATTCAGAGGCTTCGCACACCAGGCTCCCTGTAATCTCAACTTTAGGAAACTGTTCGTTGTTCCCATTACGTTCCACAACCTCTCAGGATATGATTCGCATTTTATAATCAGAGACATTTCCAAGCGGGGACGTGTGAGCGTACTCCCGGTTAATCGCGAAAAATACATTTCCTTTACACAACATGATGATGAAACAAGCATAAAATTCCGATTTATCGACTCTTTCCGCTTTTTGGGAACCAGTCTCGATGCTTTAGTGTCAACGCTAAAAGTTAATGATTTGAAAATTCTAAAGAAAGAATTCAGCGACATGAATGAGCCGAAATTTGCATTGTTGACACGAAAAGGAGTATTCCCATATGATTATGTCGATAGTGTGGAAAGATTGGATGAATCCAAGTTGCCAAGCATTCAACATTTCTACAACAAATTGAACGATACAAATATTTCGGACGACGATTACGCGCACGCGCAAAAAGTTTGGGAATCTTTCGAGCTGAAATCGCTGGGAGAATATAGCGACCTATATATGCGGACCGATATTCTTCTTCTTGCCGACGTCATGGAAAATTTCCGTGCGTCATCCCTCAAGACCTATGGCCTCGATCCTGCATGGTATTACACAATGCCCGGCTATTCTTGGGATTGCATGCTCAAGTATACTGGGTGTGAGCTGCAAATCATCAAAGACATCGACATGGTGATGTTTGTGGAGCAGGCGATAAGGGGCGGAGTATCGGTTTGTTGCAATAGGTATAGCGAAGCAACAATAAGTACCAGAAAAATTACGATCCAAAAAAGCCGTCGAAGTACCTTCTTTATCTCGATGTAAATAACCTTTATGGAAAAGCAATGAGTGAACCCCTCCCTTATGAGGGCTTTACATGGGTAGAAAATGTTGACATTGATGTAACCCAAATTCCTGACAACAGTTCAGAAGGCTATATTCTCCAAGTTAATTTGGAGTATCCTGAGAGGTTGCATGACCTACACAAGGACCTACCATTTTGTCCCGAACACCGCACACCACCAAATTCAAAATTATCCAAACTAATGACCACACTCCACGATAAAAAACAATATACTTTACATTATCGAAACTTGAAGGAGGCATTAGAACACGGTCTGAAATTGACCAAGATTCATAAAGTATTAAAGTTCAAACAATCCACGTGGCTAAAGCCCTACATCGAGTTGAATACCCGATTGAGGACTCTAGCCACAAACGATTTTGAAAAAGATTTGAGGAAATTGGCCAATAATGCGGTGTTTGGGAAGACGATAGAGAATATTCGTAATCATAGAACAGTTAAGTTAGTCAGAATTTATGAAGGCCGCTATGGCATTAAAAATTTAATTTCAAGTCCTCGGTTTCAACAACGAACAGTTTTCGATGCCAATTTAGTGGCAGTAGAGTTGAAAAAAGCAGAGCTGATTTTCAATAAACCTCTCTACATTGGCATGTGTATCCTTGACTTGTCAAAAATCGTCATGTATGATTTCCACTACAATTTCATGTTACCAAAGCTTGGAGCTGACGTAAAACTCATGTATACCGATACGGACAGCTTCATCTACGAAATTGTATGTGACGATGTGTATAGTGAGGTGATTGATGCAAATATCGAGAGATTTGACACGTCTGACTATGCTCCAGACAATATTTATGGCATACCTCGAGTAAATGAAAAAGTCTTGGGCCTATTAAAGGATGAGGCAAACGGTAAGATTATTACGCATTTTGCTGGAGTACGATCCAAGATGTACAGTTATAAATTGGATATAACGGATGAGGATATTGAAAAAGAAAGAAAGCGATTGGAAAGAAAGGGATTCAGTAAAGAACGACTAGATAGGGAATTGGAAAATTTCGGTATAACTAAAAAATCCAAGGGTGTCAAGAAATGTGTTGTCAAAAATAAGTTGACTTTTGATGACTATGTGAATTGTCTGACGGCTTGAAAAGAAAAGACCGTAGCCCAGCAAACGATTCGTTCCTACGCTCACGATGTTTTTTCCATCGAACAAACAAAAATTGGTCTGAGTCCCAAAGATGATAAGCGGAAACTGATTCACGATTCGTTTGACACACTACCGTGGTGTCACTACAGTTTGACGGATTGATTTTCTCCTCAGTATTTTTGCACCAAAATTTTTAAACTAACGCTGTGTTGTATTGATGACTTATTTTCCCATAAAAAAAAGTGACTTCTTTTAATCATCCAATAATTTACCAAATGTTGTATATATGTATATTTTCAATTATTTTAGTATTATTTAACTATTCCTAATAGTATAAAGTATAAACTCTTTTTCATTTATACTATTATACACTTCTACAATTTGGAATATAGAAACAATTATTAGACTTTTCTGTGTATTCTTTTTCCACACCCTTGTCTGGATGATGTGTACGAGAAAGACAGACAGAGAGACGAAAAAAGAAGAGAGAGAAAGGGAGAGAGAGAGAGGGAAAGAGATGTAATAAGATGTGGGTTGAAAGTATGGATGTAAAAAACAGTTGTATCATGTCTTCTGACGAATACAGACGTGCACTAGAAGAATTTGGGTTGAAAGTAAGGAAGCTCAGTGCAGACATCCAATTGTATGAGCAGAAAGTTTGTTTGTTCAAAGATTTCGAGCAATTGAGTATTTGGGACAAGGTGTTCACATGTAACGATTATTCCGTTCCATTGAGATGTTTTCAATCAATCAATCATTTAATTATCTGACGTTCATTCGTTCTTCTACCTACTTCCGCTTATCAGCCCTTCACCGGTTCAATAACCATATCGAATTTATCAAGTCTTGCGCGCTCGTCCTGCCCGCTAGACAGCGACACAGAAGATCGAAGAAGGGAAACTAAATAACCAATCAGGAGAAGGATTGAGATGACAGGATCTTTCGCGAAGAACGAATAGGAAAATCGAAGTCCTTCTGATTTGAACTACCGACTTGAAAGGTTGAAGTGATAGGTTGTGGGAATTGAAGATATCTGGTAGGTCTGGATCTATCTTTATTTCTCGAGTGAAATAACAAGTCATCGCTGACGTTTGGTTTGTTAGAGTTAATTATTATATGTTGATTTAAATATTAATTGATATATTTTTGATGGAATTTCATATTTAAGAGAGATAACTGCATATCTCTGCATTCGAGTAAATTGAGGTTACAATTCATATCGGATTGGTCCTTATGAAAAAAATTGGTCATCGATATCAATTTATTGGATATTTGAGTTCTTTCTATATTTTATTAGCACTTGGTGATAATATTTTCGTAAAATTGACAAATTTATATGTGATATACAATTTTTTTTCCAGCTTAATGGTTAAGTAAAACCTGGATTTATCTGCCTCGTCGCTTGAATTTGCTTTTTATTAACGTGTTGCTATCAACAGCTTGTTGCTAATTTTTTCCTTATTCAATAAGTTGAAAACAGTATCTACTCTTTTAAAATTTTTTCTAGGTACCTATTGGAAATTCTAAACGCCATCGCACTTTTCTCAGATTTTCATCCAGGAAACCTGAACTGAAGTTTCCTCTGTGTCTCGTCCAGGAACCTTGAACCTACAGGACCTAGAGTCTCGAAGTTGAACTTTGACGTTCAGGCTGTATTTCTCCAGGATTCTTCCTCAGGTGAGCATTCAATTTCTATTGTCAACTTGTGAAATTCTTTTCCAAGTCATTTTTCATTCTCTCTGAGACATAAATGCAACCTGAGGAAGGTTTCCTTCTCTCTATAGCCTGTTCAGTCAACATTTGTCTGGTTCCTGTATAGGTTTTGCCTTCTTGTGACGAAAGCACAACCTATAGTTCAAGTTTCCTGAAAGTGAGATTTTTCTTTATATCTTACTATCAGTATCTTCTTGGTCAACTCAACAAACCACATGTCAATGCATGTCTATTTCCTTATCTCCAGATATACCAGATCTTAATTCCAGACCTGTCAATTTCACACCTGAAGTACTTACCTATTATCTGGCATTCAACTTTTGAACCAGGACTTGCCACCCTGTATATATATATATATACCTTTTCTTTTACTTTCACGGACAAGTAAATTACCTGTTAACTTCAAACTTGAAAGAGTACCTATTATCAGGCATTTTACTTTTGAACAGGACTTGCCACCCTGTATATAAATATTACAGTTTTTTTTCTTTCACTAGAAGGTAGTTTTCTCGGCATTTTAGTTGAAGGATTTGCCACCTTCATTTAATATTCCAATTTCACAATTTCTTGATTGAATTTCAGTATCTACAATTTATCAAAGTTGAATTTAGTTTCTTCATTAGATAAATGATGATTTTTCCTTGATTTTTTTTTGTAATAATATATCAATACCCGGATATCTCATTATTCTGATTAATTCAAATAATCTTTCTCTGAGTTAATGAGTTGATTCTCAGTTATTTCTGGTTTCAATTTGAGTCAATTTTCTCTAGTTCTTTCTTTTAAAGACTGAATTTTCAAATGTAAAGTTTTTTTTTTCTTTGAATTGAATATATACATACCTTCCTAATTTTTCTAAGTTCTTGAAATTTCAATTTGTTACTTTCCAAAGTATTAACATTCAGAACATAAAACTCAGTGAGCGATTCAAAGGATATCCTTTCGTCCCTTTTATCACTTTGTCGACAACTTTCTGATTCCTCGTATATTTCCGCATGCACTCTACGTCTATACCTGCATCGAGGATCCTGGTTAACCAAAGAGGGTTGTAAAGAACGGTAACACCTGGAGATTCCCTACTGAGCAGTCAGTACTGAAGGAGAGGCTATACCCTACTACTTCCATCCCCAGAAGTACCCACCACAGTACTTGGTAACTCTGGAAGCAGAACCGAGAGCTGGAAGCTGAACTGACTCTGAAGGTTGAACTCCCATTTACCTTAAGAAAACCCTCTTGGACAATTCATCCGGCCAACCAGGTATAATCCATCCAAGTGCCAAGACCTTCGATTGGAATCAGATCGGATCAATAGCTCTATGTAAAGTTGAATGTTCTGAATCTATTTTGCTACATTTCTCTTGTTTTTTTAAATTTTTCAGTATTTTCAAATAATTCTCAATCTTGTTTCTGGGCCTTCAGCCACTTCAGTCTCACATAATTTTCAATATTCTTTTAGGGCCTTCAGCCACTTCGAACAACGTATTGTAATCTTAAATTCTTCTGGCCTCCAGCCCTTTTGTAATTTGATCAAGGAAATAAATTGTTGAATTGATTCGCTGTATATTTGTTTTGTCTTCTCATCCAAGCAAGGTTTTTAGGAAGTATCTGATTGGCTTTTGTCTTTTGCAAGCCTGGCGCCCAAATATATCGAACAGTCAAATCAATCACATTAAAATCAACTTTAGAATTCATATTACTCGATTACCATCTTAACAGTCAAATTGTAACTTTTGAACTCACACCCTACCGTATCAATCTGAGCAGCCCAAAGGCATAAGTATAAACTTTCATATTTTTTGTTTCAAAATTTTTCAAATTCTGAACTCAGAGTGTGGAGTGTTACACAATTGTCGCTCACAACGTGGGGCTCAATTTGACTGTTCTTCTCTTATCTTATCCTTGCTTGACGGAAGACCAAATAAATTATAGTTTGGAATTTATCGATAACAATTTTGACATATCTGTGTATCTGATTCTGAAGAACTTGGTATTCTAACTTATCTTAATTATCTATTTTTCATTATCTATTTGACTTTGATAATTGTCTCTTTTTATCTCTTTTCTCACTGCACTATAAGATATTATTCTGAAGCATCCCAAAAGTACAAGCTTTTCGATTATTCATATCTTTGATTAGTTGTGTTTTGAATTGAATCT